AATTTAAGTGTGTGGTGTTGATATTCGGCTAAAAGTATATGCATTTGTATGCTCATCGCCTCATATTTTACTTGAATCTCATTTATTTTTATGTGTGTTGTAATTAGTTGAGCTTAATTTTGGTGTTTATATGTGTAGGAATCGATTGGGAGCAACACATGATGAATGTGTACGAATTGAAGTGGAAAACGAAAAAAATTGAACGAGGTGCACGCCCATCGTCAAAACCAGTGATAGGCGCTGCCTGTAGTGCTGTGGCAGGTGAGACAAGAGCATAAAGAGGGTCCAGCGCCAGCCTAGCGCGACGCGCTGGCCAGGACTCTCAGTCCGAGATTTGTCCTATTCCGCTTGGGACAAGGTTCTTTCGGTCCTACACACCCCAACTCATACAAAAGGGCAAAAGGGTTTTTAAACCTAATTTTGAGGGGAACACGACACTTTGGAGGCAAAACGCATGTTGTGAGCAAGTTGAAGCAAGAATTAGAGAATTCTTTTATTATTTATTTTTGGGATAATACATAATTACCCCATTGAGGTTGAGCCATTTTATTAGATGCACTTTTTATCTTTGCAGGGGTCTTATAACCCCCTATACATATTTGAAGTGAAATTATTATCCCCTTTTTATGCTTATGTGGCACGGAGAATATTTTGCACCTCAAAGTAGCGCGATAAAGGATAAAACTAAGCGTATTTTTTCTTTATTAAAATTAAAATGTACTTTTAATTTATTTTACTTTTCTTTTTATATTTTCTTTTCCTTTTCTTCTTTTTCTTTTATTTTTTCTCTTTCTTCCTTTTGCTTCTCCCACATACAGCCCGCCACCTTCATCCACCATAACCACCATCATGTCATTAGCTTTTACATTAATTATCAGTCATTTTCTTTTTTTCTTTTTTTGTTTTATTTTCGTTTTGATTAATTAATGTTTAACCTATGCTAACCTTTCCTGCTTTGATTTCTTAAAGTCCAAGGAGAAGATGCAAAAATTGAAGACTGATTTGAGTATTAAAATCAGAGCTTGAGGCTTTGAGTTGGAGTCAAAT